TTTCCCCCAGTCCTCTAGCAAATACTTTCTCTAAGCTCAGTGACCTTAATTGGGCCACCCCAGAACTGTGTTCAGTGCAACTGCCATTTCTCTTAAAGCCAAGAGTATCTCTAACCTCCCAAATTTAAGGACTGCAGGGAGGGAGTAAAAAACAGGCTTGTTTCCAAGAGTAGCAGAGTGGCTGTTAGAGAGGAGTCATCACAACTAGAATGTTGTGGAGCAGTGACTTGAACCCAGGCCTGTTTATTCAAACAGTACTGACTGAGCCTTTGCCATGGGTCAGGCACAATTGTAGATGCTGAGACACAAACCTGAAAAGTTCTTGCTCTCCTAGCCTCCTGTTGCTGGCTCTGCTGCCTCCTAGGGATAAAGCCCTGTGCTCTTACAAGGATGTGAAGCTGGACTTACGTTCTCCTAACCAGCTTTTCTAGTTTTGAAGCAGTTTTGCAGCACTTAATTTCTGCCTCTCAGCCTCCTCATCTCTAAAATCAAGAATAACAATAACTCCCCCAAAGTTACAAGAATGAAATGGAGAAGGCTTACATGGGAAACATGATGAAACTTAAAGCAGGACGACATCCAACCTAACAGGCACAGAGTAAGTCAGCCCTCAGTCCATTGATGCTGTGATTTGGATTTTTGTACATGTTCCTAATTTCACTGTCCTGGACTTTATAAAGACACGTCTGTATGAATACCGCTCCACAGATGCTATTTCACCCTCTCTACTCAGCCCCACCTTATTTCTTATAATCCAAATTCTTCACCTACTTGATAAGTGGAGGAGAGGGTTTGCCTGTATTAAATAGCCCATCCAGTTTCTAAATTTATCATGAAGCCTGACAGGAAGGGTTCTCTCAGGAACGCAACCACAGGTACACCAAAGGGTAGCCAAGAAGGTATGGGTTAAATGCACCACACTCTAAAGACATGACAACATCAGTAAACTTCACAGTGCCCAGAGGGTTCCCAGTTTTGCAACGAATTATTCAGTCTCTCAGACCAGTAGATGGAGTTGAGGACCTGGTGTCTAAAGAAACCTTTTTTTGTTTGTTTGTTTTTTTCCTGTAAACTATGTTTCTCAAGTCCCACATGAACTGTTTCCATCCTGTTGAGACTGTTGTTTTAAACAAAAGTTCAGTAAAAATTCAGCCCAACTTCCAGATTGGCTGAAATGAGCTAGTTCCAGGGCTGGAGAACAGGAACATAATACCAACCGGGCTATAGGCCATAGCTGGAATCAGGCAGTTTTCCTTGGAGCTTCTCAATTACCAGGACATGAGAGGAAATTGCCTTCGTTTCCCTTTCTGGCACACTTTTGTTACTTCCCAGACTAAGACTTTCTTCCCACTCTCCGCTTGAATCTTCACACGCGTTTAGTTGAATTTCCCACTTAACTAAAGTGGGTTTTCCTGTGTCATTAGGACTCCTAGAGCCCTTAGGCGCTTAAACTATAAAGGAGAGTAACCAGCTGACACACTTCATCAGGCAGAGTTCAACAGGGGCTTTGCTGGCTTCACTAGCTCAGTAGAATTAATATTTCTGTGCCACCCCAGGACATCCTGGTGCCGCACTTGCTATGCCTGTTTTAAAGCCTTAGTTGGGTCACAGTCGTCTGCTGGTGGTGATTTCCCGCAATTGCATCAAGTCGTCTTTTAACTAGAATTTTGACTAGAATTACCCCAACTGCAGGTGAATGGAAGTCGTAGGGCAAGGAACTGAGCGCGCCTCACACATTTTCCCCATCTCTTGTCGTGCGGCCTCCAAGCTGCGGAGAGAGACCTTAACCACCTCTAGCTCCGGAGGCGGGACCTGGGACATTTTATCCAATCAACAATCCCACCTAACCAGTTGGACCGGTTTCTGTGACTAGTTGGA